TCAATACCTGAAGGGAACCTACACCCAGGAGGGGAGTAAACTCTTCAAAAGGGCTGACAATAGCAGGACTAGGGGAAATGGATCCAAGTTGAAGGAGGGAAGATTTAGGTTGGATGTTAGGGGGAAGTTCTTTACAAGGAGAGTGGTTAGGCCCTGGAACGGGCTGCCCAGGGAGGTTGTGGATGCCCCGTCCTTGGACGTGTTCAAGGCCAGGTTGGACGAGGTCCTGGGCAACCTGATCTGAATGTGTGTGTTTGGTGGCCCTGCTAGGCAGGGGGGTTGGAACTCCATGATCCTTGAGGTCCCTTCCAACCCGGGTGATTCTGTGATTCTGTGGTGTGCTTCAGCACTGATGCTGTTATGGCAACTGAAACAGTGGGTCACCACTGCTGGTGCAGATATTTATGAGTGCGGCAAGCAGGCTCCTGTTCATTGCTGGTGAAAATGCATAGCTGATGGTGGCGTGAACAATTAATGAATATACAGATGATACGGTGTATAATCAAAAAATATTAAGATGTTATAATTATGAAATAAATAAGAGAGTTTGGCAAAACAGATTATGATAACAAAAAGAAAATAAATAGAAGGCTTACCTCTATCCTGGGCTCACTTACAAAACACCAGCAGAGGCAGTCTTCAGAAGAGAAATCCATTGCCTTCACCTGTGCTCCTCTGGCTGACTCATGGCTCGCCTCAGGTGATCAATCAGAGGTTCAGGCCCTGACTCAGCAGTTCCCATACATTCTGTTCCCATTCTGTTGTTTCAGCAGTTCCCATTCTGTTGTTTCCAAGATGTCTCGGTGCTCTCCTTGTCCTACTGATATGGTGATTTTCTTTGAGGTCATCATCGTTAAACAAAGAGCACTGGGGGATGATGTCAGGCCTTCCCAATGTCAGGCGCTTCCTCGGGCATGCCATGGCTTGTTCTCTGGTTTGCTCTCGTGCAGGATATTCTTGCAGTGTGTATGACAAAATATACATCTATACACTTATATACAGTGTGTGCGTTCCTGGGAAGGTTCATCTATACGATAAGTGATGTAAACTTATCAGAGATCTTCCTCAAGTTAAGTAGAAGGACTCCCAAACAGAACTATGATAGCAGAGATCATAAAATAAAAATAATAATATACAATTCTAATGCAGAAACAACACTTGATTCTCACACTAATGAGGTTCAACAAGGGGGAATGTAGTATCCTGCACCTGGGGAGGAATAACTGCATGCATCAGTTCAGGTTAGGGGCTGACTTGATGGAAAGCAGCTCTGAGATGGACTTATTCATCCTGGTGGACAACAGATTGACTGAGAGCCAGCAGTGTGCCCTGGTGGCTAAGAAGGCCCATGGTATCCTGGGACACATTAAAAAAAGCATGTGCAGCAGGTCGAGAGAGGTTATCCTCCCCTTCTGCTCTGCCCTGGTGAGGCCACATTCGTAATATTGTCTAGTTCTGGGCTTCCCAGTTCAAGAAAGACAGAACTTCTTGATTGAGTCCAGCAAAGGGCTGCAAAGATGAGGGGCCTGAAGCATCTGCATTATGAGGAAAAGCTGAGAGACCTGGGACTCTTCAGCCTGGAAAAGAGGAGAGAGAGGGTGTCTTATCAGTGCTTATAAATATCTAAAGTGTGGAAGTTAAGTGAATGGAGTCAGACTCTTTCCAGTGGTGTGCAGCAACAGAATGAGTGTCAACAGTTTGTCACAGTTTGTCTAGATCTGTGTCCACGACATGGGGACAGCAGGCCGACAGGCCCACTGGTCCAAAAAGGGGAAGGGAAGGGCGAGTGTCGATGGTTTATGGGCTAGTTCGGCTCGATTCTGTGTCTAATGGGGCAGGAGACCCCCTAGGAAAGGGGAAAGGGGAAAGGGAAAGGGGGAATGGTAGGGAGATGGGAGATGGGCCTACAAACAGAACAGCAGCAATGATCTGAAGAGGAAAGTGCATTTACTAAATCATGGAATCATGGAATCATAGAATCACAAGGTTGGAAACGACCTATAAGATCATCTAGTCCAACCATCTCCTCAACACCATTGCTACCACTAGTACTAAACCATATCACGCAGCATGTCGTCTAGACGCCTCTTGAACACTGCCAGGGATGGCGACTCCACCACCTCCCTGGGCAGCCATTCCAGTGCCTGACCACTCTCTGAAAGAAATAGTTCTTCCTTATGTCTAACCTAAACCTCCTCTGATACAACTTGCGGCCATTACCCCTAGTCCTGCTCATTGCCTGGGAGAAGAGGCCAAATCCCTCCTCACCACAACCTCCCTTCAGGAAGTTGTAGAGTGCAATGAGGTCTCCCCTAAGCCTCCTCTTCTCCATACTGAACAATCCCAGCTCCCTCAGCCACTCCTCATAAGACTTGTGCTCCGGATACTAATATGGTATTGGAATGCAAGATAACACACTATAATACAATATATAATTGGAATTGAGGCTAATAAATAAAATAAGAGAAAGAGTGTCTGAAACCAAAGGCCTTACTCTGAACTTATGGTTTAGTGATGTTTTGTTGTCAGTCTTCCACATCAGAACATCATGTGGACCAGGGGGAGTTAACAAGTTAACATTTTGGTTCCATTTACTGCCTTTTGTGGACTCTTTGAGTATCCTGATGGGAGGGGAGGGGGCGGCATCCCCGGAGGACCTGGCGGGCAGAGGCAGTGGGCTGGAGCTGTGGCCAGGACCCGGAGCGTCTGCTGCTCTCTGTCTGGCCCGGCTCAGCCGTCTCAGCTCGCCGTGGAGAAAGCATGTGCTTTCCCTCGCACTATCGTGGTTTGACTCTCATTTTTTTATACTCTCGTCTCTCTCGTTTTGTTTGATTTAGTTAGATTCAGTAAATTACCCTTCCTCCTCAGATCGTTGCCGTTGTGTTTTCTCTTTGTTAAAACTATCGGCTAGCTCTCTGCCCTTCCCCTCTCCAGGAGCGTACGTGGCCCGGGGCCAGTTGGGTTGCGGCAAACCGTTCGTACCCCTTCTTTTTTTTTGTCTTTTTCCTGAGTCCTGTGCCCCCCGTCACGGACTTATATCTAAGGATAACCCATGACAACTACATACCTGTAATCATCATAAGTAGCTTGCCCACACTTCCAGAGGCCATAAACTTTCCTTTTGCTCTTGAGTTCCAGCCAAAGATCTCTGTTCAGCCAGTCCGGCCTTCTTGCCCATTGGCTCGTCCCCCGTGACTTGGGGATAGTCTGCTCCTGCACCTTTAAAATTACTTCCTTAAAGTATTCCCAGCCTTCCCGGGCTCCCACGCTCTCCAAAACTACTTCCCAAGGGACCCTCTCAACCATGGTCCTAAAGAGGCTATACTCGGCCCTCCAGAAGTCCAAGGTGGCAGTTCTGCTGACTCTCCTCTGTGGTTCAACGAGGATCAAGAAATCTAGCATTTCACAATCACTATGCCCCAGACGGCCTCCAAGCTTTACATCCCCCTCAAGACCTTCTCTGTTAACAAACAGCAGGTCCAGGATTTTGCTTCCCCTCATTGGCTACTTTACCAGCTGTGTCAGGAAGTTATCTCCCACACACTCTAGCAACCTCCAGGACTGTTCCCTATCTGCTGTATTATAAATCCAGCAGATGTCTGGGAAGTTGAATTCCCCCCACAAGAACAAGGGGGAGAAACCTTGAGACCTCACCCAACTGCCTATAAAGTGCCTTGTTCACCTCTTCACCCTGGTTGGGTGGTATATAGCAGACTCCCACGATAGTATCAGTCTTATTGGCCTTCGCTTTTCTTCTGAGCTCTCAACCCTAACATCACCATCATTAATTTCAGTACATTCACATTCTTTCTTAAAATAGAGGGCTACACCACCACCTTCCCTGTGTTGCCTATCTCTTTCAAAAAGTTGGTAGCTACCCATCACAGCACTCCAGCTGTGCGAGTCATTCCACCATGTTTCCATGATGGCGACTATATCATAGCTTTCTGACTGCACAATGGCCTCCCTCTCAATGAATGTCAATGGGTGCACTTTTTTTCTAGATAGAAGAATTCAGTGACACACCTTTTACTTCATACACGCTTCCATATCAACTGCCATTTGGTCAGACTGCCCCTCTGCACAGCAATAAAATGTAATGGAATATTAGCGGGAAGGTTTGACCTCTAATGCCATACTAGTAGCATCTGCATCTGACGTTGTGGACCAACATAATAAAATAGAGCATGTTATTTTTGGAGCAGCCCTTGTATATAACTGGCTATTTACTTGGTTAGTCTGATCAAAAATACTACTTGCTTTGACTTAAGTACTTATTCCCCCTTGTAGAAATGATTATTGTGTAGTATTCATAATTTTAATAATCATTAATTCTTAACTAAATTATTTCTGACTACTTTTAGAACTGTTGTTGCATAGCTGTATGTACAGACACAATATTTCCCATTTTTGGTACAAGTGCGTTCATGAACCTGTACTTAAAAGCAAAAAAAATTAGACTAAGACAAGCAGTTATGTAAGAATTTTGTTGTTATTTGAAATGTTCTTATAATCTTTATTCCTACTCAGTAACAAGTTTTTAGATTGAGTACATAATTATGAAATTATTTCTTTTTCGTATGTCTACTACACTAATTGTATAAAAGTGACTAAGTCTTGAATATTTCTCAGTATAGTGAAGTGCAGTTATTTGTTACTAAAATATATTGATGCTTTTGCCAAATTTATACAGGCCTGTCACATAAGGTGTATGTCCTGCATGACAGAAGTGTTAATCTTGTTATCTCTACTAATGGCAAATTTGCTTGCTTTTTTTGTGAATCTCTGCCTCCTTTACAGTCTTCAAAGATTCTTTTGTCATGTGATGTTCATCAGTAATTTCTGATGAAATGTTTGTTAGTTCAACAGTGTGTGTATGGACAGCATACTTTAAAAACTCAACATTATCATAATTTAAAAATCCACAAAACAGCAAGAAATCCCTGATGATTTGTAGCAAAAGATTTTCTTCTAACAAGCTTCCTTTTCTATATTAACAGGATTATTGCCATGTGTGGAGACTATTACATTGGTGGACGCCGCTTTGCTTCACTCTCAGACCTAATTGGTTATTACAGTCATGTGTCTTGTTTGCTGAAGGGGGAAAAACTATTCTTTCCAGTAGCACCTCCAGAGGCAAGTAATAAAATTCTAAGAAGTCATTTACTGGAATATTATTATCATTAGTAATTGCTAATCTTACTTTTGATTATTCATAGTTTTCTGTGAAAAAAACCACCGTAGAAAACTTCTTCAAATTCTAAAGTTGTCTCAGTATCTGGTGAAGTATAAGGAATATATAACTGCATTCTTACTGATACAAAGTAATAATTAAAAAATTAAATTGCTTTCTAGTGAAAGTCTAATGATAAAGCTGGATATCAGGTACTGCAGTTATCTCCAAATGTAGTAATAGTGTTGTGTGTAAACTGAGGTAAATAAAAATGTGCAATTCTTGACTAGTAAAGAGCACGACTGCACGGTAGTCAACCTCTATGCTAGGTTTTACACTAACTTACTAGAGTATTTCAAAATAATATTTCCATTTTTTAATATTCTCAACAAGATAATCAACTCTAGTGCTGTCACAGTCTTCAGCTGAATGGAGTATCACTGCATACAGAGGGGTTTCCTGAACTGGGGACATCCCGGAGGAGTGAAGAGACCTTCTAGGAGCCAGCAGCTCTTGTGAGAGTGGCTGACAAGGCTTGGGCAGGGCCAAGAGCAATGGTGAGAGGTTATAAACAGGATGTAATCACTACTAACAGTCACTTGCCATGGCCATCAGCATGAGCCAGAATAGAGCAGGAGATTGTGGTGTACAGGGGGGTCCTCAACTGGGAAAATTTCAGAGAAGCATAGAGACCTGCCAGGAGCTGATAGTTCTCATGAGAGCAGCTGATGAGGCTTGGGTGAGGTCAAGAGCAATGGCAGCCAACTGCCACTTGCATAGAAGGCAGCACTAGCAACCAGGGTGGGATGTGGCAGTCTGGGTGAAGCACAGGATGGTATTCAGTGAGGGCACTGTCACTGCCACTTCAAATGGCAGTTGTAACCTGCTTGCAAGGACCTCTAGTTATGGCATCTACCTTGCAGAAAGCTATGTCCTCTGTGTCCCCTGTGACCTCCGGATCTACAGGATCTGGTGTAGCTATTCAGATTTCCCAAGGGACCATGCAGCCATCTGGGTCTCAGGCTGCAGAGTATACCTGAGTTTTCTGTCAGTATCTGATGGCAGCAGTGAGTACACCTGTGGGAGATGTGCCAAGGTAGAAGAACTGCTTGGCCTAGTGCCAGAGCTTCAGGAGGAGGTGGGCAGGCTGAGAAGCATCAGAGAGTCTTGAGAAGATGTACTGTCAAAATTGTACTCTACTAGCCCTGGGACAGGTGAGTCAGCCAGCCATAATACAAGATATGAAGGATCCCCTACCCTCTTGCTACCAGGCAGAAGGAAGGTGACATTTTACAACAGGTGTGAGGTTCTGGAACTTGATGGACAGTTAAACAATGATGTGGATTGATGTGAATGATGGTCCATCTAGGTTGGAGGGGTCACCAAAGGCAAGGAAGACTGCCTCCCTGTATCATGACCACCACTGTCAAGGAAAAAGAAAAGAAGAAAAGAGGGGTGTTACTGTCATAGGTGACTCCCTTCTGAGAGGAACAGAGAGCCTGATATGTTGACCATACTCAACCTATAGGGAAGTCTGCTGCCTCCTTGGGGCCCAGGTAGAAGATGTTACTCAAAAACTCACTAGCCTGGTATGGCCTTCTGATTATCTGTTATTGGTCTTTGTTGGCAGCAATGATGTAGTAAAGAGAAATCCAAGGGCAATGAAATATTTCTACACCAATGCACGCAGCATGAGGAATAAGCAAGGGGAGCTAGAAGTCTTGGCTCAGTCCTAGAGAGATGAAATCATTGGTGTAAGCAAGACATGTAGTGAAGAGTCTAGTGAATGGCGATAGATAGGCAGGGCAAGTGAGGTGGGGTGCTGATGCTATATGTAATGGAGGCTACCATAAGCCACCCATTCTGAATGACAGTGCTGATTAATTATTCTTTACAATCATCATAGAGTTGTTTGAGTTGGAAGGAACCTTTGAAGTTCATCTACTCCAACTCCCTTGCAATGAACAGCAACATCTACAGCTAGATCAAGTTGCTCAGAGCCTGTTCCAATCTGACCTCGAGGCTCGCCAGGGACAGGGTATCCACCACATCCCTAAGCAACCTGTGCCAGTGCCTTACCACCCTCACTGTAAAAGAATTTTCCTTATATCCAACCTAAATCTCCTCTAAGCTTGGAAGCCATTTCCCCTCGTTCTATCACCACAGACCCTGCTAAAGTCTGTCCCCTTCCTTCCTGCAGCTCCCCTTTAGATACTGACAGGCCATTCTCAGGTCACCTTGCAGCCTTCTCTTCTCCATGCTGCACAGCCCCAGCTCTCTCAGCCTGTCCTCATAGAGGAGGTGTTCTATTCCTGGGATCATTTTTGTGGCCCTCCTCTGGGCGCACTCAGCTCCATGTCTGTCCTGTACTGAGGACTCCACAACTGGATGCAGCACTCCAGGTGAGGACTCCCCAGCACAGAGCAGAGGGGCAGGATCACCTCCCTTGCCCTGCTGGCCAAGCTGCTTTGGATGCAGCCCAGGATACGGTTGGCTTTCTGGGCTGTGAGGACACATTACCGGCTCATGTCCAGCTGCCATCCACCAGTATCCCCAAGTCCTTTTTGGTGGAGCTGTGCACAATCCTTTCTTCCCCCAGCTTGTACTGATATTGGGGATTGGTGTGACCCTGGTGCATGACGTTGCACTTGGCCTTGTTGAACCTTATGAGGTTCACCTGGGCTCACTGCTCAAGCCTGTCTAGGTCTGGTCTGGATGGCATTGGATGATCCCTTGGTTTGTTCAGCCTATTGAAGAAGATACTGAGGGGCAACCTCATGGTGACCTACGTCTTCCTCACGAAGGGGAGTGGAGGAGCAGGAATAGATTCCTTTTCTCTGGTGATAGCTACAGGATCTGAGGGAATGGCATGGAGCTATGTCAGGGGAGGGTCAAGTTGGGGATTAAGAAAAGGTTCTTCACTGAGAGTATGGTTGCGCACTGGAACAGACTCCCCAGGGAAACAGTCATGGCACCAAGCCTGCCAGAATTTAATATAAGTGTTTGGACAATGCTTGCAGAAATATGGTTTGAATTTTAGGTGGTCTTGTCTGGAGCTAGGAGTCAGTCTTTATGATCCTTATGGGTTCCTTCCAACTCAGGATATTCTATGATTATAGTTTTTGTTATCTGTCATTTCTGCAAGGCTAGAAACAAAATGAGAGCTCTTACATAATTTTAGGAATTAAAGATTCTTAGTTAGTATTTTTGACCATTTGAAAAGTTAAAACTTGCAAGTGGATACAAATGATAGTTACCAGTCCTTTGCCTCTGTATAGCATAATATTGGGGAGAGGTATTCTACACTAGAATCAAGGGGAAAAGTAATATGTTTGCTCACTTCCTTTAAACTGCAGCCTGTGGAGGATAGAAGGAGAGTTCGAGCAATTCTACCATATACCAAAGTCCCAGAAACTGATGAAGTAAGGTACGTTTTAATAATAGCTAAAAGCAAATTGAAATCTTAGTAAAATTATTTGTATTCATAAATACTGTACGTTTACCATGCAAATACTTTCCAATTGCATCCCAGACTTAACACTGGGAGGTTCAAAGCAAGATTCCTCTTATTATTTTTTTTCTTTTATAAGTTTTATTCTTGGCTTACTGTTTGTGCTGCATTAAATTGTTAGAACTATGAAGCTTAGTTTAGAAGCAAAATGCTAATTTCAAAGAGTTACATTTTTCTCAAAGGGGCTGTTTTGTGTATGAGGGCTAGGCTTTTTCCCAAAGTTTGCCTGTAGAATTAACTAGTAACAGATAAATAATTCAAGCCAAACCAGTTTTGACCTCTAGAAATACAATGTGAGCATTGACTCTAATAAAATTGAGTACATTCAGTATCTGCTTGAAATAAGAAAAAAGTAGAGATGACAAAAAAACAAAAGCACTGCTAAAGGCCCTTTGCCTTCAAGTGTTCTAGCGCTCATTTTTTTTGCCTGTTTTTAAAAATTTGGTGACTTTTAAGTTCTTTGTACTTTTCTGTACTTAACATGGAATAGTAATGATTCTATCTTTCCTTCTCTGTGTAATCTTAAAAAGTTATTGAATTGCCAGACTCATACTACTTCTGTGAGCAGCTACTTATTTCCTTTCTAACACTGATCTCAGGAAATTCTTAGGGACTGTCTTTACTCCTTACTTCCCTTGCATTTTCATGATATATACTATGTGAAAAGGATGGAAAACCAACAGTCCCATATCCCATAGAAGAGTATATGGTGGTCATCTTAAATTCATAGAATCATTAAGGTTGGAAAAGACCTCTAATATCATCTAGTCAAACCATCATCTCAACACCACCGTGCCCACTAAACTATGTCCTTCAGTACCACATCTACCCTTCCCTTGAAAACCTCCAGGGATGGGGACTCCACCACTTCCCAGGGCAGCCTGTTCCAATGCCTCACTACTTGTTCTGAGAAGAAACTTTTCCTAATATTCAATCTGTACCTCCCCGGTGCAACTTGAGACCATTATTTCTCATCTTGTCACTAGTTACCTGGGAGAAGAGGTGACTCCCACCTTGCTGCAACCTCCTTTCAGGTAGTTCTAGAGAGCAATAAAGTCTCCCCTGAGCCTCCTCCCTCTTCAGATTAAGCAATCCCAGTTCCCTCAGCCGTTCCTCATAAGTGTTGTCTTCCAGACCCTTCACCAGCTTCATTGGCCTTCTTTGGTCATGCTCCAGGTCCTCAGTTGTTGATGGTTTATGAGCTGGTTTGGCCCAGTTCCGTGATTAGCGGGGCGGAGGGATTTTGCACCACAACGCTGAGGTGAGATGTGCAGTCCGGTTGAGCAGCAGGGAGACGAAGAAGAGAGCATCAGGTGACTTTGCCAGGAGTTCTATCTCCTCTCTGAACTCAAAGCCCCCTGGAGTATGTAGTTCTTCTCTTCCAGACAGGTGCCCGGAACTGGAGCATTAATAGTTTAACTCCCAGTGCACTACATGATGTTATGATGTGGAATACCGATAACTAAAAATCATAAAACCATGACATCAGTGTCTTCCTTGCAGTGAGGGACCCAAAACTAAACACAGTACTTGAGGTACGGCCTCATCAGTGCTGATTACAGAGGGACAATCACCTCCCTAGTCCTGCTGACTACACTATTTGTGATACAATCAGGATGCCATTGGCCTTTTTGGCCACCTGGGCACACTGCTGGCTCATATTCAACTGGCTGTCAACCAACACCCTCAGGTTCTTTCCTGCCGCAAAGCTTTCCAGCCACTCTGCCCCAAGCCTGTAGCGATGCATGGAGTTGTGAACAAATGGCAGTACCTGACACTTTGTCTTAATGAAGCTCAAACAACTGGCCTCAGCCTATCAAACCAGCCTATTGATCTCTCTGTAGGGCCTTCCTACCCTCAGCCCTCAGCCATATTGACACTTTCTGCCAACTTGGTGTCATATGCAAACTTACTGAGGGTGCACTCAATCGCTTTGTCAAAATCATCAATAAAGATATTAAACAGGACCAACCGCAATAATTTAGCTCCACTGAGAAGGTGATGTCTGTTAGGTTAGCTGGACTTTTCAGAAGGGAGGAGGTTGCTGCTCAACCATGCCGTTCACCCTGCCTGTGCAAACTGCTGTGTCATGCCCTATTGATGCAACTGCTTTGAGATGTCAGGTGGTGTTTTTTCCACAAAAAAAAAAAGAATTTGGAAGAGATTTATAGAATCATAGAATCCTTAGAGTTGGAACGGACCTCTGAAGGCCATCTAGTCCAACTCCCCTGCGATGAACAGAGACACCACAGCTCCATGAGGTTGCCCAGGGCCTGATCCAGCCTTGCCTTGAAAGTCTCCAGGGATGGAGCATTAACCACATCTCTAGGCAACCTGTTCCAGTGCCTTATCACCCTCATTGTAAAAGATCTTTTCTTTATATCCAACCTAAATTACCCCTCTTTGAGCTTAAAAACATTTCCCTTGTTCTATCACCACTGACCCCGCTAAAGAGTCTAAACCCTTCTTTCCTGCAGCTTGCCATTAGATACTGACAGGCCACTTTCAGGTCACCTTGCATCCTTCTCTTCTCCAGGCTGAACAGCCCCAGCTCTCTCAGCCTGTCATCATAGGGGAGGTGTTCCAAACCGTGGATCATTCTTGTGGCCCTTCTCTACATGTGGTCCAAGAGCTCCATGTCTCTACTGTACTGAGGACTCCACATCTGGACACAGCACTCCAGGTGAGGCCTCACCAGCACAGTGTAGAGGGACAGAATGACCTCCCTTGCCTTGCTGGCCATGCTTTTTTTGATGCAGTCCGGGGACACATTGCTGGCTTGTGTACAGTGTGCCATCCACCAGTACCCCCATGTCTTTTTTGGTGGGGCTGTGCTCTATCCTTACATCTCCCAGATTTTATTGATATTGTAGTTTGTCATGATCCAGGTGCAGACCTTGCACTTGGATTTGTTGAACCTCAAGAGGTTCTCCTGGGCCTCCTGCTCAAGCCTGCCTAGGTATCTCTGGATGGCATCCCATCCCTGAGGTGTTTCGACTGCATCACTTGGCTTGGTATCATCCACAAATTTCTGAGGGTGCACTCAATCCCACTATTCATAGAATCATAGAATCATAGAATCATAGAATCGTAGAATCATAGAATCACAAAGTTGGAAATGACCTATAAGATCATCTATTCCAACCGTCTTCTCATTACTACCACAAGCTACTAAACCATATATTGCAGCTCCTCATCCAGACGCCTCTTGAACACTGACAGGGACGACTCCACCACCTCCCTGGGCAGCCATTCCAGTGCCTGACCACTCTCTGAGAGAAATAGTTTTTCCTCACGTCCAACCTAAACCTTCTCTGATACAAGTTGCAGCCATTTCCCCAGGTCCTGTTTGTTGCATGGGAGAAGAGGCCAAACCCCTCCTCACCACAACCTCCCTTCAGGAAGTTGTAGAGTGCAATGAGGTCTCCCCTAAGCCTCCTCTTCTCAAGACTAAACAATCCCAGCTCCCTCAGCTGTTCCTCATAGGACTTGTGCTCCAGACCCCTCACCAGTTTTGTTGCCCTTCTCTGGACACGCTCCATGGCCTCAACGTCTTTCCTGTAGTGAGGGGCCGAAAACTGAACACAATACTTGAGGTGCGGCCTCACCAGTGCTGAGTAGAGGGGGATGATCACCTCCCTGCTCCTGCTGGCCACACTATTTCTAATGCAGGCCAGGATGCCGTTGGCCCTCTTGGCCGCCTGGGCACACTGTTGGCTCATGTTCAGCCGAGCATCAACCAACACCCCCAGGTCCATTTCCTCTTCACACTCATCCAGCCACTCTGCCCCAAGCCTATAACGCTGCATGGGGTTGTTCTGCCCTATCACAGAGTTGACTAGATCAATATTCGTCCGAGACAGGGGGCAACAAGCCTCTGCCCTCCCCCCCCACCCCAGTCCCACAAAGATGGGAAGGAAGGAAGGGAGAAAAAGAACAGCGGCAACAATCTATGGAGGAAAACTTATTTTACTATAATACTGGAATACAAGATAACACAATATATACAATTTAATTGAAAATGAGATTAATAAATCAGACAAGATGAGAGAGAGAGTTCCCGGGACCGAGTCAAACCTGAAAAGCTTGGAACGGCCAGGAAAGCACCTCCAGCACCCACTGCCAGGCAGCAAGAGAGCGCCCCCCCCACCCAGAAGGGCCAGATCCCGTGACTTCTGTAACGTACAGGGATAGGTACTTGGAATTGGGGCAGTGACACTTTAACGCCCCGTACACTACATGATGTTTTGATGTGGAATACTGAAACCCAAAAACAAAAACAAAAAACACGGAACCGTGACATTCCACTCCTTATTTTACATCGTTACATCATGCTTAAAATATATATACATATATACAAACAAACTAACAAAAAATGATTAAAATGCATTACACACACATGGCTATATATATATATACATAGAATTAGTAACTGCGCTCCCCCGGCATCAAGTTTCCTTGTGGTACACATTGGACATCATCATTCTTTTGCATTACCCACCAAGTGGATCCTGGTCCCTGGGCAAAAACTGTACCACGGAGAGGTTTGCCCTTTCCTGAAGCTGGAAGAACCCAAACTGCCTTTCCTAACATGTTCTTTACATGTACAACAGGGACTTTATCTCCCTCTACGGTATGTAGGGAACTGGATTGGTTAGGACCATCACGATTGATAGATCCTCTGGTATTGACCAACCAGGTGGCTTCTGCCAAATGCTTCTCCCAGTGCTTAAATGTTCCGCCACCCAGTGCTTTTAGCATCGTTTTTAACAATCCATTGTATCGTTCAATTTTACCAGAGGCTGGTGCATGATAGGGAATATGATAAATCCACTCGATGCCATGATCTTTGGCCCAAGTATTTACAAGAGAATTTTTGAAATGAGTCCCACTATCTGACTCAATCCTTTCTGGGG